TGTTTGGTGACTGCTCCTGTTTTAACTGCTCCGGATTTTTCGAAAATATTCTATCTTCAAACTGACGCATCCTCGTATGGTCTTGGTGCTGTCCTAACTCAGATTTTTGATGACGGTGAAAAGGTCATATGTTATTTATCTCGGTCCATGACAAGACAGGAAATGAAACTCACCGTTACGGAGAAAGAGTGCCTGGCCGTGATTTGGAGTGTGGAGAAGTTGCGTCACTATTTGGACCATGTCCACTTTAAGGTCATCACAGATCATGCTTCCTTGTTATGGCTTCACAGGCTAAAAGATCCTCAAGGTCGTCTAGGTCGTTGGCAGTTGCGCCTCCAACAATTTGATTTTCAGCTGATTCATAGGAAGGGAAAAGACCATATCGTGCCGGACTTTTTATCGCGTTCTGTACCTATCTCTTTGGATTCCATTGATACCTTTAATCCTCCTGATTTTTCTTCGACAAAAACAACGGATAAGTGGTATTTGTCAATCATACAAAAGATCGAAAAGTTTCCGGAAAAGTTTCCTTTATGGCGAGTTCATGATGGCAACCTCTATAAATTTATTAAATCTTCAATTCCAGAGTTATCGTCTCCCTCTGAGGACTGGAAAGTTGTGGTTCCGAAGGATAAGAGGGTTGAGGTTCTTAAGCGTAACCATGATATTCCTGCTTCTGGTCATGTTGGCGTCTTTAAGACCTATGGTAAGATCCGCCAAGTCCATTATTGGCCCAAAATGAAATCCGATGTTGTTCGATACGTCAAATCATGTCAACAGTGTGCTCAAAGCAAGGTCGAACAGAAGCGTCCAGCAGGATTAATGGGCGAGCGCCCTGATATAACTCAACCATTTCAGGCTATAAGTCTAGATTATATTGGTCCCTTGCCGCGTTCGAAGAAGGGTTTTTGCTATATTCTCGTCATCTCGGATTATTTCAGCAAATCGGTGTTCTTATATCCTTGTCGTTCTGCTAAAGCTAAATCTCTGACGGAACTTGTTGAGAAGTTTTTCTTACTTTTTGGTACACCCATGTTTTTAACATGTGACAATGGAGTTCAAATGAAATCGAGGGAATTCCAAGATTTGTGTCAGCGTTACAAAGCCCGTATCTTTTATACAGCCAACTACAACCCTCGTGCTAACCCGGTCGAGAGACAGAATCGCGTCATTAAAACTATGCTTCGTGCTTACGTCCGACAGGAAGATCATAGAAGTTGGGATGAACATCTCGATGAAATAGCCTGCGCTATTAGAACGGCTCCGAGTGAGACTACTGGTTTTACACCATATTTTGTTCTCTTTGGTCGCGAGCATAATTTGTTTGGCTGTGATTATTCCAATAAGGTACCTAATTCTACCCCAGATATCGATTCATACATTAAATCTCGTCATGACGGCTTTGTCAAATTGTATCAGAAGGTTCGAAATAAAATAGGTCATTCTCGAACCCAGAATGCCCATCGCTATAATTTGCGTCGTCGACCTCTTAAATTCAACGTGGGTGATAAGGTGTGGCGAAAGAACAAGATTTTGTCCAATGCTGCCAATTATATAACTTCCAAGTTGGCACCTGCGTATATTGGTCCATTTTTGGTCATGCGCAAGCATGGTTCCTGGTCCTATGAACTCCAGGATGAGCTTGGCAAATCCAAAGGTGTGTGGCATGTTCAAGACCTCAAGCCATACAATGATCCATTTGACGCCACTGTTCAACCATAGTCTCAGACCAACGTATTTTATTTACCTATTTCATTCATTTAGACCAACTGTGAATCCAACATGTTCTGTTAGTTAAGTAGTCGATTACCATGTTTTGGATGTTTAACCATTGGTTATGAATTTTCTCTGTCCCTATTTTTGGCTCACATAGGCTGAGCTGTGACAGGTTCCACCAGACTGGGCATTTCATTGTGTCTGGATGGAAGGGTCGTTCATGGGGGGGCTTATCTCTGACCTTCTGTAACAACTTGGGTTAGGCCAAGGATTAAGGGGGGGATTTGCCTACTGTGGGTCACCTCAGCTCCTCTCGGGCCGACTGTCCAGGGTTGGTGGAAGTGTCACAGTTCGGAACAACCTTCAAAATTATATTTTTTTTTATTCTCATAGGGACTTCGGGTATTAGTTTTTTAACGGTATCCTTTCAGCTTGGTTTGCGCTTTAGCTCACCTTCCTTTGTTAGGCGGGTCTTAGGAACTATCTCCTTTCTCTCTTTTATCTTATTTTATTATCTTTTCTTCCCTACCCGCCACTTGATCGTTTTCCATTTCGGTGTTCAGAGGCTACTTCCAGGTCATGCATGAACAAGGCCAGTAAACGAGGTGCCCCGCACTTAACCGGGTTTTACGCAATGCTGGCTCAACGTTTTACCCCAACATCTTTTATTGATTAATAAAATTATGTAAAACACTTTTTGTTTGTTGTTTATAAGTGTCCTGGGGGTCGCTGACGCACACCGATGGGGAGAACGATCAAGTTGTTTAATTGTTTGTTTTGTTATTTTTCATTTATTTTCTTTTAACTTTAGTAAGCAAGTTGCACCAGATAGGTGTTGGTTATTCTTATTATGGTGTTGAGCCTTGAGCTTTAAGTTGAATCACATTAATTTGTGAATTTTTTTTTTCTGTACACCTTGCATTTTGCTTAGTCTCCTGATCTATCGATAATAGTAGTCACTTTTTTTTGTAAGCTCACAAGTCGGATCGTCGGAAAAGTTCCTTTGTAACTTTCCCTCCTGTTGAAGGAGAGGGGGAGTTGTAACGTGCCAAAATTTACCTTTGTTTCTTTTAAATTTTATTCTGTAATGGGTACATATTCCTCTATTGAAGATTACTTTTGCAACAACGATTTTTACCATAATAATTAACAAGCAACACTTATTAATTAAAACGGCAGAGTTATTTATTTTGTAAACAAACATTTTCATACGTAACCTCAAAATTCGGTATTTAATTTGCCCTAATTTGCATTTAGTTACGGAGTGCCGCTCCTTGTGGTTTGGTGCAATGTTTTGGGTACCGTAGCACCGCTCCCTGTGATGTTTGTCCAGTTTTATTAGCAGCCAACTTCAGTCACGGCTATTTCACGCGGTTCGATGACAGTTAACCATAAGGATGTGCTCTGCTTGTCGATTTATTCATCGTTCGATTTTCTAACTTGTACTCAATCCATAAGGAAATACCTTATTTTCTTATTCATAAAGGTATCTGCCTAGTGTCAAAGTGTTGTTTGTTCGGTTATTGAATTCTAGTTTCCCTCCGAGTGAAGTGTAGTCGGAGTAATTTTCTTCATCGTTGTGGCTAAACCTGCCCATCTCTACTAGTAAATTGTCAACTTGGTAACTGACCTGTGGAATTTTGGGGTTTTTTCTACCTTGCAAGGCGTAGGTGAAGGAGATAAAGGGTTATTTTTGATTTTACCCGTTTATGGGGATTTAAGCCCTTTGGTTCTCTATAAAAATTAAATTGTAGTAATTTATCTTTTGGTTCTACCTTACCTGACTTCTACAATTTAGACCGTTTTACGGATTTGAGCACCGTTCGTCTGCTTGGTGATTTGATTTGGCCCTTACGACGATCTAAGGACTATTAGGAGACATTCCTGTTCCTGAACGTGTCCCACGTTTTGTTGAATAAGCAAGAAAACCCTGTTGCACAGGGTTTTTTTTTTATGCTGAGGGTTCTCCTTTACTGGGTTTCTCAGTCAAGATTTCTACCTCCTTCCTACCAGTTCTTCGACTAACCCTTCAAATATCTGCCTTTATTCAGCGGCTCATGGCCTGAGTGTCTCCAATAAACAGTGACCGCAGGATCGAAGAACTTGATCTAGGATTGGTATCGTAGAAACCCTTTTACCGTACAAGTTTTTTTTTGTTATGTAAACTCACATTCTTTAAATTTTCTTTATAAAATCATAATATCTAATCATTTTTTTTATATTTACCAAAACTCTTTTCTGGGTAATCCCGTTGTAAATTTTCAAGTAAATTTTATGGTCAATTTTATCAATTAAATTTTATGCTCAATTTTATTAAATATCCGTTTAATAACCGATTGTGTGGCTCAAGTTAGCGACTTACAAACATTCCAATTATTGATTAATCAGATCCCTACTTTGATTACCTTGAGTATAATTACTGTTTATAAATTTATAGCCTGGTATGTAAACCAAAGTGATCACCGAGGTATTAGAGTTACGAAGTTAGGTACTTTTGGTAATCAAGAAGACAAGGTAATTGATTGGTTTTTTGTGATTAACAACTTTGATTTATATTTTGATAATCGTGGTACTATTTGAGGTTAAACAATTGAGCAACATTGAGTTGGTTGGTTTAATGATTTACTATTGATTATTGATTATTTTGCTGATTATTAATTACTTCATTATTAATTACTGATTATCAATTACTACATTTAGGTAGATCGATTAATTATTGACTGAATTGATAATAATATTTTTTTAGGATTCATTTTGTCCTTCTGTTTTTTTTTAAAGATTAAAAACAAGCTCTTGAATTTAATTAGTGTTTCATTTGGCTTCGCAAGCTTATACAATACTGGACAACGTTTTTTTTATTAACTGCTTTCTCTTATAGTGTAATTGGGTTGGTGCGTTTCAGAAAACATCCTGAGGGATTCTGGCTATCCTGTCTGTCAGCCAGTGGCGCCCATAAATAAACCCACCCTACTCTCCAATAAATTTTCTGAGCTGGGGTTAATTTGCCGTGCTCTCAAGACACGCGTTGATCCAAAAGCACTTTTGTTCTTTATCAATTTAGGTATCTTTTCTTTACAATTTTTTTTTAATTTTTAAATTCATTTTAAACCAAGAGCGTGGCACATCCTCTAGCTAAAATAAATGTATGATTCAAACCCAATCTTCTTTCTGGTTGAACTGGACGTTGTGATTGCCATAAAAATGGCATTTAGATATGGATATCCTTGAAAATAAAAATTTATAGCTTTTCCATATATCTGAAGATTTCATATTTCATATTTCAGATTCTCAAAATTGGCGAAAACTACACTCCTCAGATTACAAATAACATAATAGGTAAAGTAGAAACATGTGAATCGGAAACTGGAGAACTCTCTGTAAATATTTTAGGTGAGTATTATGTATTTATGTTTTACTTTTCCAATAGAAGCAAATATACACCGCACAAAAATTATCGCATCTATCAAAGCAGAAAACACAGAAATAAACAGCATAATTGCAAAGTGGAATGTATGCCTATGCCTATCCGCATTTTCCCGAAAAAGGTAAACAAGAACCTAGGTAACAAAAGAAGAAACGACATGTTTTTGGACTCGAATGTTTCAGTTAACGAATGTACATTCAGGGAATACTTGAGAAATTTTAAAAATAAATTTACTGTAGCCAAAATATTTAAAAGCATTGGTGATGCGATAATTTTTGTGAGGTGTCTATATATTGCGATTTTATCGGGTTTTTCAATTTTCTTAAAACATTCTTAGCTTTTTATATGTAAGTGTACTTAATAATAAAATGATACGATACGATTACTTCAGTGTTCTATGAAAATGCGATGTGTAAATATGCTATCAAAAAATTGATAAGTCGCATTAATATAAAATTAAACTTAACAGTCAATTTTGCTTCAGGAGGATTGGAAGAACTATCGCCGCCTTCTTCAGGGAAATTTGGTCTTGATTGCGAAGAAAACAGGAAATCTACAACAAGATCATTTCTTTTCACTCAACTTATTTCACCAAGGCTGCTGAACCTGTGAAACCAAAAACTACTAGTGTTTGTGATATAGGTAGTAATATGTTCAAGATGTGAAACTTGTCTATTTTAGTATTTAAATTTACTTTTGTTTCATGATTAGTGTTTTATTTTGTGTTCATAGATTTGTTTAACAAATTTTCAGCTAATAAGAGGACGTCTAGGCGGTAGTTCCTTTGAAATTGTCACAACTTGAACTTATCCGTGTCTTGATGAGGTGCGTAGCGAAGGGGCAGATAAATAGAGACTCACTTGTTAATTTTATTGTTTGTTTTACGCTTGAGAGAGTCGTACGATTTAACATAACATTGAATATTTAATATTCTGTTTCTTTTAAACAATGTCCTTCCAGAATTTTCAGAATTCCAGCTATAGGTAATTATTTTGTAAATAGTTAGTTTTGGCCAAGGTCTTAGGAACTTTAATATGCGACTCACTATTTTATTCTATTTTTTTTCATTTTACTAGTGATATACTGACTTAAAATGATTGGAAAATGTTAAATGTTCACCTATTATACATCCCCAGTATTTAAATTTGTCCACTATTTCTGGATTCAATTTCTGTTCTTATTGATTGTTTCAAATACTCTTCTGCAGGCTAAGAAGCATCTTTCGGATATTAATGTAGTGCATTTTTACATGTACCAATTAGTCGCCGTGTCATTAATGCGACTAAAGTTAGTTTCATCATATTCATATTCATATTCAGATTCTTGCGTACTACAGTCCAGCAAATAAATATTGCATTTCTATGAGGACCCGCATGAGAGGCTAATGATCATCTCAGTAGCCCTGAACCTATGTTGAGCCGTGTTTCATGAGTTGGCCGACAGGAAGGCCGTCTACCTCCACCCCGTGTTCCTACCATTACGGAATATGGTCCAGGAATGTATTCTCATGCTCAATATAGAGCGCGCCTGGGGTGAATTCGACGCGTGAGTGATCCAACCGAGGTGCAGCTGTCCCGAATGCAAGGATCGAGCGAAACCGCGAGGGTTCCCGCCCTTATCGTCTAGAGAGGAAGTCAAACCAGCGCCACCCGAGGTGAACCATTACGATGCAAGGTCAGCCAAGAACCTGTCGCGTCTTTCCAAGTACCTGCAAATTCGAGCACCTTACAACCGGAGCTTCCAGAACACAACAGGGAGGCCTGAGTACAATCCGTCCCACTAACGAACCATCAACTTCAAGATTACAACAGGGAGGCGTGAGTGCAATCTGCCCCACTAACGAACATCATCGGGCAAAATGGGGGCCACCTTATTTTAGGGTGGTTCAAAACCCGAAAAACTCTAACATTTTGACAATCAGACGCATGAACACCCGAAGAGGAGGAAGATAATGAGGAATAGACACTTTAGTAAGTTTTGTAATAGGTATATTCACTGGTTGAAGTTAGGATAATTTTAAGGGTAATAAATCGATAAATTTGAAGGTAACTATTTGAATCTGTAGATGAGTAAGGATAAAATTCAAGGTAATTATAATCATTTTTTTTAATCAGTATAATCAGTAAGGATAAATTTAAAGGGACATTAAATCGATAGAATTTAAGTATGGCGTATGCAGGTGATCATCTGTTTATTGTTGCTCGGTCTAAAAATCTCGGAATAAGTTATAAGATAACGTAATAATATAACAAAAAGTGGTGCATTGCTTAGTTACGAGCTGTGTAATACTTGCAGTACATAAAAATAGTGTTTCACAACACGGGGGACTCCAAGTTATTGCCGGTTCAAGGTCGGTTCCCAGGAATTTGTTGTCTTCAGTAGCTGGAAAAGGTAACAGTGTTGCCAAGAGGCGCGGCTTGTATTTCTCGGAACCTAAGATGACTTGATATACGGCAAACTGTGGCGAATGTGATGCAAGGGTTACAAAACAACGCCCAAATGTGCAGTGTGCGGAGTGTAACAGGTGGTATCACTCTATGCAGTGTACAAATTTGAGTGAGATCGAGGAGAGACTTATGCTTGATCATAAAAAGCCTTGTTCATGTAGAAAATGCAGAAGGCTTACTATGCATGGGCTCTCAATTGCTCAAAGTACAAATAAAGAGCCCTCTGGATCCCAAAACTGGCGTAAGTCTATCTCTCCAGGACTAAAGGACATTGACTCAATTTATTCACTCCTTATCGAGCTAAAAGGGGAAGTAGGACAGCTGTACAACAATATTACGGAAGGAAAAACATCCCTTGAGTTTTTGAACGGTATGTATGAAGAACAGCGTCAGTGGAACAAAGTAATGGAAGAGATGATTGAGGAGACCAAAAATGAAAACAAAAAATTAAGAGATGAACTATCTTTAGTTCAGACAAAACTTGCAGAAATGGAAGCTGAAAAAGTAAGTAACAAACTTATTATTAATGGGGCCTTTGAGATTGGGGATACGGAAGAGACCTTGCTGGAGAGGTCAATCAAGGTGCTGAAACATATTGATGGCTCTATTGTAAAACAAAACATAGTTAATGTAAAAACCATACATGTCAAGCAAAAGCCACCAATGGCTTCGGTCTCTTTCGATAATCCTGAGTATGTAAAAAAAATTATGCAAAAACGTCGTGAATTTAGAAACTTAAATACCCGGGCTTGTGGAATTTTTGAGTCAAGCAAGTCTATCTATATAAACGAGTACTTGCCAGAACTTACATACAAATTGTTAAAAGAGGCGAAAAAATGCAAAGAAAAGGGATATAAGTATGTGTGGTGTCAAAATGGTTCAGTTTTATTAAGGAAAAATGATGGAGATAGGATTGTAAAAGTACGCAATTCCTTTCACTTGCAGAACATCCTTAAAGCCCCTGGGAATAATTAATATAAAAATTTAATTGAGTGCCAAATTTTGCGCAATAACTCCCAAAATCAAAATGGAGCATAACGAACTGATTGACTCTTTTCGTGCATCACAAACTAAAATATGTGATAATGTAGGTGAAGTGAGCGTAATTGTAAGGGATTTCAATATTGCCCTCAACATCATACATGTAAACATAAGGGGTATTAAAACTAATTTTGATGACTTTTTATTACTGCTTAGTTCTTTGGAGGTTGGATTTGATGTTATTATAATGTCTGAAACGCATATAGTTGAAAATCCTTTGGATTTCAACATAAACACTTACTCAGTCTTTTATAACGATAGCTCTATCAACTGGTGTGATGGTACCGTATGTTAAAAGTAACTTAGTCCTACATAATCAGGTGATTTGTATACATAACCATACATTTTTGCAGTTGGAAATTATGAAAAATGGAACAAAAATTGGAATTATAGCCCATTATAGGCTTCCATCTTTGAATGAGAGTATTTACCATGAAATACTATTAGAATTGCTTACACATTTTTCTTTGCGCCCGATTGAAATTTTTGCAGGTGACACTAACATCAATATTTTGGACGGGGCAAGGGAAAGTGTCTCTAACTATCTTACTTGTTTGTCTGGCTTGGGTTATTTTCCGCACATTAACATTGTCACTAGAAACAATGCTTGCCTAGACCATTTCTTTCTTAAGGGTTATAATGAATGCAACTCAGCGGTCCTAAATAACGACCTTACAGATCATTTTCCAATTGTTATGAGTGTTAAACTAAATATGCATAAACCTCAATCAGATCAGAGATTCTTTAAAAAACTGGACGCTGCCTTATTAAGCAATTTTATAAAAAATGAATCTTGGCAAGACATTCTGTTAGAAAATAATTCGGACAGGATAGCTGAAAAATTAATTCATAAACTTTAAATGTATATCCAAAGTTCCACAAAAGAAGTACGTATTAACAACAAATATAAATGCATAAAACCTTGGATTACTCCAGGGCTTGTTCGATGTATAAGACAAAGAAATTGCTGGAAGAGGGAAGCTACCAGAGCAAACAATGAACCTAACACTCTAAGAACATATACTGTATATGGGGACGGTTTGAACAAAGCCATCAGAAAATCTAAATTGAATTACTATAAATCAAAAATAAACCAAAATTTAAAGGACCCTAAAAAAATATGGCAGACCATTCAGGAAGCCTCAAACGAGTTTCACAGTCTAAACACAATTAAACTAATAAAGACAGATGATGGTCAACCTGTCTCTACAAGTATGGGGATCGCTAATGAATTAAATACTTTTTTTAGCACGATTGGTGCCAAACTTGCTAGGGGAATTCACCCAACTCCCCAAACCTATGACACTCTATGCAACAGATCCATGTTTCTAAGACCTATCAGAGAGCCAGAGCTCATTGGTACACTGAAAAATACCAACTCGTGCGGTGAGGATGGAATAAATTCTAAAGTGATAAAAGACTATCATAAACAACTTATCAAACCACTTTTACACCTCATTAATTGTATTTTTTCAACAGGTCACTATCCTCAAATTTTTAAAAAATCAATAATAATACCTATACATAAAGGGGGTGATAAAACCGATAAAAATAATAATTATAGACCCATTTCTTTATGCAGTGTCCTAAACAAAATTGTGGAAAAGTGTATAAAGGAAAGATTATGAGACTATTTGCAGCTCAATAAACTAATCTCTCCTCAACAGTTTGGATTCAGGCCAGAGGTTGGTACTGATAGTGCTTTGTACGAGGTGAGTCAATTCATCTCGGATAGCATTAATAACAATCTTAAGCCAGTAGCAATATTTTTAGATCTAAAAAAAGCGTTTGATACGGTTGCGCATCCTATTCTGTTGAAACGACTTGAGAGTGTTGGTATTAGGGGAGTGGTGAATAATTTATTCAAATCTTTCTTGAGTAATCGCGTTCAGGCGGTTAAGATTGATAACGTATTGAGCGATGTTCAGGAGGTTGAGGTTGGAGTGCCTCAGGGTACAGTGTTGGGTCCAATTCTGTTTTCAATCTATGTAAATAGCTTATTATATCGGAAAACAAGCGGGAAAATTGTATGCTTTGCAGATGATACCGCTATATTAGTAGCTGAAAAATCTTGGCAGGAATCATTTAGGAAGGCAGAGTTGGACCTACACAGAATTAAGGGCTGGTTGGATGCTAATCAACTTACTTTGAACACAAATAAAACTAAATTCGTGTCTTTCTCAATAACTAAACGAGGTATGGCAAAGAACATATAATCCTACATAGCTCCGATTGCAGTCTGTCCCGGCCTTGTAACTGCAATGCAAAGATAGTCTCTTGTAGTTCAATTAAGTACCTTGGGGTTTACTTTGACTGTTTCCTTAAATGGGATGTTCACATGGATTATGTGAGCGGAAAAATAAGAAAGCTGGTTTATAAGTTTTCACAGATTCGGTATATTTTACCTCTAAAATTGACTAGAATGGTTTACTTCGCTTTAGCTGAATCCATTTTAAATTATGGTATTTTATGCTGGGGCTCAGCATGTGAGTCTGTGTTGTTACCTTTAAAAGTGGCACAAAAATATGTTTTAAAGGTGTTGTTATTTAAGCCTAAAATGTACCCCAGCGATCTACTGTTTAAGAATTCGGAATTTTTAATATGTTCGACAGTTATATTGTGTAAGAATAATACAATTTTCATTAAAGTTTAATATATCTAAAAACACGGTTAGTCATTGTATACGCACTAGAGCTGTGACCAGATCGGATCTTTGTACCACCCTACAATCGTTTTCCT